AAAAGAAAAGAAGAAGATTGGATCAGAAAATTATCAGAAACTTCAATTGTTTACGTCGCCGATGTTCGAGCAGAAAGAAATCGAAAAAAAGAAAAAAAAATGAAAGGAAGAAAGAAAAACGATTTTTTTACAGCCCATTTTTATGCATCGTCATCTCCAGTTGCTTTGCTGTTTTCGCGGTTTGCTTGTGCTGATGGCGTTGCCGATACCCAGATGCCGATGTTGTTGGCTGTGATGCGGTTATTGCTGCTGGTTGGCCAGGCGCGGCCCCTTTTACTTTTTTGTGTTCACGTACCGTTTCAGTGTATGCACTGCACGAGTGATACGTAGCCATATTGACTACTCGTTTCTCTCTCATTCACTGAAGTTCAATGATTAGAGAAAGTGCAAAGAAGCAAGCAAACAAAAAAATATATAAAGATTTGATTAGTCTCTTTCTTCCAACAGTGTCTTGTCATTTTCAGTTTATTTCCAATCAGTGAACCTCTTATTTCGTTCCATTTTCCTTTTCTCTCGTTTTTTTTTTTTATTCTCATCTTTTCTGACTAAAACCAGTGAAAGTATTTTGCATGGAAATTGCTTTTTTTTTTCGCTATTTTATTCTTTTTTTTAGTTATATATCAGCAACTTTTTCTTTATTTTTTCGTTTGGCCCCAATCGATAAAAGCAAAAGCAAAAACAAACTGTTTCAGTAACCAGTTGCTTCGCCCAAATGGCTCTATATGTAGCTTTGTATAAATCATAGAGGGAATTTGGAGGGGGGGGAGGGAGGGGAGATAAAACAGGGCGGAGGGAAACATGTGGGGAGGGCAGGAAAAAAAAGGAGAGGGAAAATGGATGGGGATAAGGGAAAATGTACAGAAAGATACATGGTTACAGCGGCGAATATAATCGGAGGGTAATATGGTTGTTTAATATTTGGAGATCTGGAATTTAGAGTATTTATAGGTTGTGAACAAAGGAACGAATGAAATTGTTGTTGCCGCCGTTCAGAGTCTAA